GGGCGGACTGTGCTGTGGTGCAACTCGGCAAGCCCCCCCCCCCTTCCTCCATCCCCTGTAGGTGTGGCCGCCCTGGTAGGCCTCCGTTCACCAGCGGGCCATGTCACACTACTTTTTTAGCTATCAAGTAAGGTATGGCCAAAGGGAGTCGATCCTCTTCTCCTCCTCCTCCTCCTCCTCCTCCTTCAACCCGTGCATCCACTCCGGCCACTTCTTCCGTGTGGACGGGCCCGCGCGGGGGGTAGGGGTCGTCCCCCGAGAGCGCCAATGCGTTCGGTGTGCTCGAGCGCGGTAGCGGTGGTGGGCTTCCCTCCTGCCAAGAGGCCCCTACCGGCACCCTGGCTTGCAGGAACCTCCCCGAGTGACCCCCGCCCCGTCCCCCGTGTCTCGATACGCAGCGAGGTCAGCAAACTCCACTCCACGGGAAGAGCGATGCGACGAGGCGCGTCGGGATCCTGCCCGAAAGCCTGGGCCGCGATCTGGGCAGGGCTCTCCAAGAACAACATCGAACGCTCCCTCTCGGGCACTCATCCCGCAGGACGGACGCATAGCTCGGAATATTGCCACACAGCGAGAGTTTGAGCAGCGCGCCACCCTACGGGCGCCACGCGCTACCGCACCGCGCCGTTGTACGCCCGTGTCGGAGAGAGGGGGTGAGAGAGGTGGGGAAGGGGCGACGATATGCTCCCCAAATCACTTTACGTTACGCTTGGTTGGCCACAAACGCGCCTGCTTTTGCCTCCCCGGCGGGCGCCCCGAGGGCGGCGGGGCCGGGTCCCGCCCTCCCCTGCGGCGCCTCCGCCCACCACCACCGCCGCCACCACCGCATGGGATCCCGTTAAGGGATCGGGACTGCTATTTTCCTCTGCCAACTCTTCTTGCATCTCACTCCGAAACTTGACAGCACGAAGAAGCGGGACAGAGAGAGAGATTTTGTCAGGGTGGTGGTGAGGGTTGAAACGGGCACCGCTGCCGTATGCAACCCCCTCGCTCTACCTTGCCCCTACCCCCGCCCCTGCGCAGCTTCTGTTTCCGGAAAACCGCGATGCCGGTGGCGTGGCGGGCGGAGGTAACAGGGTTAGGCCCTGATGGCATTATCCCATGGCTTCCCTCGAGCCCCGCCGCGCCAAGCCGCGCGCAGCCGAGCTGATTTCTGCACTTTCTTCCCTTTTTCGCCCCTTCACTTCCCTCCCTTCCCTTCAACTCCTGCCCCCCC